ATTTGATTAAGCTTACTATCCTTTTCAATTGGATATTAAAACATTAGAATTTGATTCAATTCGTTACCTAAATATCTCAAATTCATATATTACTCGATAATAATCGGGTCTAAGTTCAAGTTTTCAACGAATCAGTACAAGTAATTAGCTTGAGTCGATTAGACCCAATGATTCTCTAATAGTTTATGAAAAAGCAATTTTCATTTGTCATTTATTTTCCTTATTGGGAGCCAGCTAAACCAGATGGCCTTGTTAGCAACAATAACGACAATACGCATTTAAGGTTCAGCATTGAATTTTAATTAGGGAAAGAAACCATTTTTAGTTCTCTTGTTTATTGCTTGAATAATCTATATATATCAAACTCTGTGATTTAGTCATTGTTCCCGACCACCTGACGTGATCATAAATGGACACATTTGGGTTTATGAAAACGAGGTTACCACTTCAAAGGGGCACCTCTTCTCTACTATATAAGAATTTGCAAACTACCAGGGTTTGGTTCTAATTTTCATGAAAAGTTTGGTTCAATTGCCTCCGCCAAGTTGAAAATAATTTTTCTGCTGCTCTAATATATATATATATATATATATATATAATATTTTAGCTTAATTATCTGACACATAGCAAAAATGAGGCACATAATTTGTTTTAGTACTAGCAGGTGTATCAACCTAAATTTATTAAAAAACTAAAACTACTCCATTAATAACTCGAATATAATTAAAAAGTTATTTAAAAATTTTATTTCACATGTGACATACACATGACATAATTTTATTGGTCAAGTGCTAAGTGAACATATTATTAACAATGTTAGTTGTTGAGTCAAAATATTACACAATTTGAAAATTCATATACTAATTTATATATTTTCTTTTTCAAAATTTAAGTACCAAAAACCCTGCAATAAACTAAGGGTACGATACAAATATTGCCTTGAACAGTGACACAATCTTCCTACCACAAGGAAAAAAAAATTAAGCTTTCAATTACCTCATTAAAGAAGTCTCTTAGCATCTACTTTGGATGTAAACATAGATATGAAAAAACTATGAGTTGCTAGAATTTAAATCCTAATTAAAGGTTTAATAAAAGTATTTAAGTTTGTCCTTAATGATCATCTCTTTTTTAGAAAGAGATAATTTAAAACCTTAATTTTACGCCTAAATATGATATGAATAGGTTTTGAAAAACATTATCTCATCTTTTATGTTTCGAACATATATTCTTTTGTTAAAGAGAACTATATATACTAAATATTTTGTACTATAAAGTTGGAATTCATGAATACAGGTTAACCAAAAGCATCAATACTAGTCGATTTGGACTATGAAATTTGTTTAACTTTAGGATTCAATCTCAAATTCAAGAGAAAAGACAAAGATTTCTCCATCTAGCTCCCAATAATTCCTTGCTCGTGTGAGAGATATTTCTTGCCAACCATTTTTCCCAAATTTATTGGCCCATATCTTTAGCCCCCACTCCACAGCCACCTCCAAAACATCTATAGTAGTATTATAAAAATATTCATCATCAGTTTCTTTCTTGTAGATTGGCATATAACGTGATTAATAAGCTCTGAATGTGAGTGCAAAATTGGTAGGTGTTTGGTTAGAAGTTTGAGCATTAAAGACGTACGGAAATGGTTTCAAGTTTGTTCAGCGAAAAAAACAAAAAAACAAAACAAAACAAAACAAAAGAAAGCCTCCAAGGTTGACATCCAATTTCAACATCGAATATAAAAAGTACCAGACTTTGAGATAGAAAGAGGGAGCGTTGGAGAGCAATTGTTTCAAAGTCAAAAGAGAAACAAGCAACTGTGAACTGTTTCAATTCATATTATTGCTATTCTGACACGCCCTTTTTGTCTTCATCTTTTATTTTTTGTGAAATTCCAAAAACACCACATTTGCTTCTCATAAATACAGAAATGTGCAACTGTGTTGGGACTGGGGCCTATTTGTATGGAATATTGAGTATAGTTTTTGCCTTGTGACTTTGGAGGTCAGGCCGGTCGACAGCCGACCTAAGTCTATTCATTTTTTTTTTCTTTTCATGGGATTTGTTTTTAGATATATCATCAAAGAGTACAAACACTAGAAAGTGCAGTATTCTATGCATATATATATTTTCTATAAAAAAAGCCGTAAATGTTTGGAAGTTCATATTTGCTGAATATTATTATTTAAAAATAATTAATAAATCAATTAAATTAAATTTTAGGTTCACGCATTTATTTATAGCCTGTAAAAGCAGAAAAAAAAAAAAAAAACAAAACAGAGGAAAATACAGTAGAACCTGAAATCATTGCTGACTTTTAGGTTTGAGGTTCTATTAATTTGAAACTTAATATATAACTTGTTTTAAAACAAGGCGAAAATTAGAAGAGAACACAAAAGAGGGGAAAATAAAACACATTAAAAGAAAATATAAATAGCAAAGCGAAGGAGGGTTATTGGGATTTTTTTTTTTTATTAAAAGCCTAATCTAGAATATCCAAGTAGCAAACCATTGAACTGCATTTATTATAACTTTGTGCTAGTGGAAATGAGAGCACAACCATTTATAGATTCAAAGAACAAGTACTTACAATATTTATTTTTGGCCACGGTAGTTGTGAAACAGTGTGGTAGTAGTTGCCCATTAAAATTATTTATTATAAGTAGGGAGATGAAAATGAAATGTTCAGCGTTAGATTTTTTTGAAATTTTTTTAAAATACTCGAAAATAAATATTTATTAATGTTTGTTAATTTGAGTGATAAAAAATTTGATTTAAAATTTTATGAATGGAAAAATAGATTTGAGAGAACTTATTTTTCCTTATAAGATTTGACCTAATTTGATTTTGGATTACTCAAAACCTAAAATGACTTCTGGATATCTCATACCAAAAAAAGTAAATATTTAATTGCACTAGATTGATGTAAGGGAATACGTTTTAAAATCTTTAAAGAAAAGGATTAGGTGCAGATAATATCTAAGATTACTCCTGATCGTCTTATCACCAAAAAAAAAAAAAAATATGATAATGACATACTTCATGTAACATTTCTCAACATGCATAAGAATCTTGACATCTTTTATTTTTAATGAGTAAATTAGGGTTTTGAATTTCTCTTTTGCATGACATAATTTAAGTAATTTATATTGATAAAAATAAACTGAAAAATTATATATATCAAAACTGCTAATTTAAGTACGTGCAAAAAGGAAGAAAGAAAGAAAAATCTTAAATTCTTTGTGAACGGAGAATTAAACGCGCAAATACTGTCTATTAGTCAAGTAGTCAAGTAGTCAAGTTTGAATAGAATTAAAGCTGAAACTGCCAGTGAAAGCAGCAAGTATGGCACCAAGATTAAACCAATTTAGACCGATCGACATGACTTTATCTTCAAATTAAATGGGAATTCGACTGTTGATTAATGGAAACTCTCAGCAGGTGCGCTATAGACGTTGAATCTTCAAACTACTTATTAATTAGAAGGACCTTGAGGCATTCTTGAAAGGATAGTAAAGTCAAAATCCATACCTTTAAAGCCTCTTAAGGCTGGCTGTTCGTAACTAAATATGTAGTGTTTAGGGGCCAAAAATGTCCTAGACATCAAATCACTAAACATTGATAAGAATACATTAGCTATCTTCTCGATCCGATTTCAAAAACATAATCCTAACAACGAAAGCTAAAGCTAATAAATAAGGGACGGAAGGAAGCTAGCAGTTAACAGTTAGTCCGAATAATCAATTAATCCAAGAAAAATTGAAAACATGAATAATTTTTTCAAATTACCTAAGTTACCCCTAACCCTCCTACCCTTTATACTTATGTAGCTGATCGAGAAGACATTACGTACATGAGTTCATTTAAACTTGCAATCTCTAAGCACCAACATAAATTTCGTATCGTCTGATTCAAACAATAACAACTGAAAAATTCCAACATGAATAATTGAATTGATCATCCATTTTTTTGTGATATTGGTATTATGGTCGTTGGATGATTTTGCTGATGGTCATGTTTCGGGACAATCATGCATGAGTTAATTTGCAATGTTTCAACTTAATGTGCATGGCATATAAATGTGCTTTGAGTACTACCCTACCACCTAGCTGGCTACCCTCAATTTGATTTTAATATCAATAAGTTAGGGCTTCAAATAAAGTCCCTAATGAAATACATTGACAGATCATAGTTTTTTTATTCTCATCTATAATTAATTTGCGTTTTAAGAATTTTTTATGAGATAATACCCGGTTTTAACCTCTAACTTAATTTATTTAAAACTGTTTTTCTAATCCCCTAGTTTGTTTTTTGTGTACCTAACAAAAGTTATATATTGCAGCCAATAAGATCTTATCCTAGTTACAAGGAAAAAGTTTTGAAATCTTAAAATCTTGAATTCAAATCTCATTGTATTTTAATTTTATATTGAATTTATTTAATTATATATATTTCTTTTATTTTGTTTATTTGTAAGTTGTAACTTCGCAAAAAGAAAGGTAAAGTTTAGAGTAATTGATCCTAGATGGAAAAATAATTTTATTATCGTATTTTCCTAATTTTTTATTGCGAGTTAATATGAATTTCTTCCACTAACAATGACACACAATTTGGGTGAGCCAAGTTGCTCCCCAACAAACAATATCATGCAAATACTAAATTAATAATATTCATTGGACATGTCAACCCTCTTTCTCTCCCATGCTATCACACCACACAAGAGTGGCAAAGCTTCTTATAAGAATGCCAATACTTAAAATCATACTAGCATAAATTAACCAAAAAAAAGAATAGTAATGCATTTAAATGTTACCGGATGCTAAGATGATATTTAAAAAAAAAAAGTAATTAATGCATTTTTTAAGAAATTAATAAAGATAATGCATTAAATACGAAAATATTTTTAAAAATAGTAATTAAATAATCCTTAACAGGCGCTTATAGTATCGGCTATCCCGGATCCACGTATAAATACAAAATTAGAAAAAAAATAAAAAATAAAAAGGAGCTAATGAACCGGTTGGCAAATTCAATGCTACGGAGGGTTAACAAGTAAAAGTTCATCGGGGTAGCTGCATCCTCCCATCTTTCTTTCCCCCTTTAAATTGCTCCAACTTCTTCCCACAATTGCAACTCATTAACTCTTTTCCCACCCTTTCATTCGTTTTGTTTTAATTTCAAAATCGAAAATACTACCAATTTTTGTTGAGTTATTCACCCCAAAGTTTTGTTTTCTTGGTTTTCAGCAGTTTTTTTTTTTATCTGGGTTTTGTTTTAGGCTTCATATTGGATTTGTATTATAGCAAAAAGATGGCAGCAGAGAGTAGGCAAAGCTCGAATCCAGAGCCTGTACAGGTTCAAACAGCTTCCTTAGAAGAAAGAAGATCAAACAATAATCTCCCAAACTTTCTTCTTTCAGTAAGGCTAAAATATGTGAAGCTTGGCTACCATTACTTAATCTCTAACGCCATGTATTTAATGCTAGTACCTCTCGTAGGCATTGCTTCAGCTCATCTTTCCACGATTACTTTCCTTGATTTTGTTCAACTATGGGACCAGCTCAAGTTCAATCTTGTCTCGGTAACCCTATGTTCAGGCCTTTTAGTTTTTTTGGCCACACTTTACTTCAAGAGCCGCCCCAGGAAAGTCTATTTGGTTAATTTTGCTTGTTACAAGCCTGAAGCAGAACGTACTTGCACCAGGGAGATGTTCATGGAAAGATCTGGTCTCATAGGGAGCTTCACCGAAGATAACTTAGCTTTTCAAAAGAAAATCCTTGAGAGGTCTGGTTTGGGGCAGAAGACCTACTTTTCTGAGGCTCTGTTGCGTGTCCCACCAAACCCGTGCGTGGCGGAGGCCAGGAAGGAGGCTGAGACAGTTATGTTTGGAGTCATTGATGAACTCTTGGCGAAAACTGGTGTCAAGGCTAAGGATATAGGAATCCTTGTGGTGAATTGCAGCGTGTTCAATCCTACACCATCTCTTTCTGCCATGGTTGTGAACAGATACAAGCTTAGGGGGAACATTTTGAGCTACAATCTTGGTGGAATGGGCTGCAGTGCTGGGCTCATTTCTATAGACCTTGCCAAGCAGTTGCTACAGGTATGTTTCTTCTTTTTCACCCTTTTATTTTTTTTCTTTTTTTACAATATAAGCTGCAACTAAGAATTGTTAGAATTTAAACCCAAATTTATTGATATCACATTTTAAAAATGATTGGATAAATTAAACACTTATAAACTCCAATTTTTTTCTGCCCTTTAAATCACATCTTTTTTTCTCTGACTGATTTAAACCACATGTCCCTTTTCTTTTTTATTTCAGCTGTTGGATTGCTTTTATATGGCATAAATTATGTGAAAAGGAGTTCATGCAGTTTGGCTGTGAATGAGTCAATCTCACTTTAAATAGGTCCGAGGAATTGAGCCATCTAGGTTAAGAAAATTTTATATATTGCTGCAGCCAGCAGCCTGCTGGCTGCTGAGCACTTGTCGAGCTGGTAATTGGCCTACTAGGTGACCCACATTAAAGGATGGCTGCAGGTGATTTTATTAGGCCAAGTGACTCTAAGAAAAGAGAGGTGTTATAATCATTTATTAAAAATGAAAAAATACTACTACTAAATTCCAGTTGTAGTTTAGTGGTTCCGGACCATCCAATTGGAAATTATATTTAGTATGCGGCGGGGTAATTTCAGCTAGTTTCCACTTTCTATATTATGATTAAGGGTAATGAATGTGTTCCCCTTTCACCTCCAAAATAACATTTTAAATGGAAAGATTAATTAATAATTTGGTAGATTTGGTCTTGTGGCAAGTACTGAAATATTTTGTTCCAATTACAGGTACACCCCAACTCTTACGCCCTAGTGGTAAGCATGGAGAACGTTACTCTCAACTGGTACTCTGGCAACGACCGATCTATGCTTGTCTCAAACTGCCTCTTCCGTATGGGTGGCGCTGCAATCCTTCTCTCCAACAACTCCTCCGATCGCCGCCGCTCCAAGTATCAACTTATTCACACCGTACGAACCCACAAAGGGGCTGACGATAAATGCTACAACTGTGTCTTCCAACGCGAGGATGATACCAAAAGAATTGGCGTTTCCCTCTCAAAAGACCTCATGGCTGTTGCTGGAGAAGCTCTTAAAACCAATATCACCACCCTGGGGCCATTAGTTCTTCCCATGTCCGAGCAACTCCTGTTTTTTGCTACTTTGGCTGCAAGGAAAGTCTTCAAAATGAAGATCAAACCCTACATCCCAGATTTCAAATTGGCTTTCGAGCATTTTTGTATTCATGCAGGAGGGAGAGCTGTGCTAGATGAGCTTGAGAAAAACCTTGATCTCACGGATTGGCACATGGAGCCATCGAGGATGACTCTTTACAGGTTTGGGAACACTTCAAGCAGTTCTTTGTGCTATGAACTAGCTTATTCTGAAGCCAAAGGAAGAATCAGAAAAGGTGATAGAACGTGGCAGATCGCTTTTGGGTCAGGATTCAAATGCAACAGTGCGGTTTGGAAAGCCTTGAAGACCATCAATCCAGCCAAGGAGAAGAGTCCATGGATTGATGAGATTGATGACTATCCTGTTCATGTGCCTAAGGTGGCAACAGTTTGTTCTTCCTAAACCATAATTTTCATTGAGAGAGAGAATTTAATTAGTAATTAATAGTATGGTTTAATTTATACATGGTTAATGTGTGTTAATTTGAAGGTTAATTCCAAGTTAAAGACGAAAAAGACCCATTCCATCACCTTTTTTCATTTTCAATTTTTTAGGGTTATGAAAACAAATTGATCAATGAATGTAAGATTTGATGAAAATAGCTATCTCGGTATCATGAGACATCCATACGGCAAAACAAAATGAGCCCATTTAACCTTTAAGTTAAGAATTACACTAAATGGATGTTTATGCAGTATTGACACGACATATTTATCATTTCATTACGTTTTTAATGATGATGGACGGAATGAATGAATTTAAAATATTAAAAAAAAAGTTGTAAATTTAAAAATTGTTTTGAAGTTATGTAAGATGATGCATTTACTCTTGGAATCCAAATCTACCATTAAAGGAAAGTTAGCTACATGATGCAATGTAGCTATAGCAAACTTTGCATGAAAAGCCACTAATTGGCATTTTTTTCTGCTTTGAATGTAATTAAATGGTTTTTGGGTTTTTGGAAAAAAAAATTTTGTTGGGTCAACATAATTTTGGAAAAAAGCTCTACATACTCATCTAATAGACTAATACATTCATTTCACATACTCAGACTTTTTATTTCAAAATTTTATTATAGGCTATAAATGTTAATTTTCATTTAAGTCCCTAAAATAAAACATTAAAATAGGTGAGTGTTTTATTTTAATGCATTAGCACCGTGCTATAATTTTGGATCTTTTTGTTTGTTGGGTCAATGGCTTATAGTTTTTTGTATTGGTTTTTTCTTTTTGTTTTATCTCTTTGTTTTACTTTTATTCTTAGATATTTTATTTAACAAAAATGTTTTCTTCTAAACAAGAGATGTTATCAAGTGTACACATTATTTTATAAATTTATATTTAAAATAAAATGAAAAATTTTAGATCTTTTGATGAAAGGAAAAAAATAAACCGTCTAGAAAAGAAAATGAGAATTTTAAAATAAATATTATCTTTGCAAATATTTATAATTTATAACAATTAATTTTAAAACTTATTAAATATAATATTTGTAGACACCCCAATTTGTCTTGGGTCTACTAGATTAGGATTAATTAGAAAAATAAAAATAAAAAAATAAAAAATAAAAAAATTGAAAAGAAAGGTGGTTGAGGAGTTTAAGTCGGATTGAAGGTTGGAATCAGAATTCAGAAAGGATTGAAATCCCATTTAGTTTAGGATTTTTGGATTTGAAAACCCTATAAATATAGGCTTGGATCTAGAAGCAAAACGGAGGAAATAGGGAAAATTAAAAGCAAGAGACGAGGGAGAAAACAAAAAGAAAAATCACAAGACACAGAAAGCAAATGGAGAGAAAAGAGAAGCAAAAAAGGTGTTTAAAAGGTGCAGAAGAAGTCTTAAGATTTTTAAGACTTTTTTTTAATTTTTGGTGATTTTTTTCAGGAAAATTCTAGATTCCGTTAAAATTTTCAGTGAAATTCAAGTTTTTCGGTGACTTTTTTGACAAAAAACCCAGTTTCCGACGATAAAACCTAAAAACTGATGAGAATTCCATCGGTGTTCTTTGCGTCTAGAGAAAGACACAGAGAAAACTGAAGGGAAGAGAGAGAAAATAGGTGAAGCATCTTGGAAAAAAGGAAAAATTTTAGCCTTTTATACTACTTGAAAATGACGTCGTTTTTGGGAAGTTGAAAGTGGCTAGGATCCGCGCATCACCCGAAATTCGACCCGACCCGTAACACTTCAACCCATTTACCCTTTTTCGCTTAGCTGTTGTTGAGTCGCTGAGCCAAGCTGCATATCAAGCTGTCCAGCCGCTTTTATCTCTTGAGCAAGGCTTTCATTACGCTGAGCCGTTTTCAAGTTTTTTTTTTCTTTTATTTTTTTTTTTGGTTTTGTTGTTTATTATTATTTTTTTGCCAATTTATTTATGAATTAAATAAAAATATTTATTCAAATATTCTTTAATTTTTAATGATCTCTTGAAAATAAAATTTCTAAAAAATATTTTTGAGGAAAAGTTGAAAGAATCAATTTTTCTTGTATAAAAGCATAAGTTTTTTTCTTATAAAACAAAAAAAAATCTATATCAAAAGTCGAATTCATTTTTTTAATATTAAATAATCCAACGATAGAGCCTCTGCAAGAAAACGATAGTTTTCTTGTATACTCTTGAGATGAAAATTTTTTTTTAATTTTTTGTCAAAAGTATTGTAGTTAATTAAGAATAATTTTCAATAATTAATTACTTGATAAAATTTTTTAGGTTTATTAGATAACACGAAATTGAGCTGGTACCATCTTTTGATGGGCTTGTAGGGGTGCTATAACCTTCCCCACATGTAACCAAACTATCGAACCACATTCTGGTTTATAGACCCGAACTTATTCTTTTAGGGACCCTTAGTCAAGCTTGGGAGCCCCATAAGAAGATAGATTCCTTAGGTGACCAATTACACCTAAATAAAAAAGATTGATGATGACTCCTCAATTCAATGTCTAGCGATAGATCCCTAGATCTAGACGTTATGACAGTTTGGCAACTCCACTGGGGACAGTCGAGAGTCAAGCCAGCAAATAAATTTGTGTTATCCAAAAAGCCTAATAAAATTAAATTTTTGGTAAAGATTTTTTATGCATTCATTCTATTTATTTGTTTGATGATTATGTCATTCATATGCAAGTGCATGACATGAATTCTATACCCGAACTCCGTCCCTCTATAAGGGAGTAAAGTACCTATGCTTTCATGAGGTTTTAATGCCTCCGCAATTGCTAGCGAAATACACTCACTCAAATTGAATCTTTTTTGCTTGTAGCTTATAATGGGTGAGGATTAAGGTGCCTTACTAGTCTGTGATGGACAATGATGTAGGAACAATTTGAGAACCTTTAGACTTTAACCTTGAACCACATATAGTGAACTTTATAAGTGCCTAACCTAAAGATAGAGCCATCTCATTCTTTTTAGAATTAACCAAAAGCATAGGATTTATTCTTTTTATTATGTGTGATGTTTAATTTATTTATTTATCTTTATTTGGTATACTAACATCTTCTCTTATTCATTTTTTCATTGATTCATGCTCATATCATAAAGTTGCATAAAGAATATTTGCTTGAAAGATGGTCTTCAACAAAAAGTTTTTTATGGACTCCACATAGTGACTAGTTTACTTTTCGTTTGTATTAGCTCATTGTGAGTCACCCAACGAAGTAAAGGTCCAGTCAGAAAGGATTCAACAAAAGGAGAAGGATTGTTTACCAATTGGTTATGCTTTCAACTTGTCTTAAGAAACATCCATCCTCCTCAAACAAAATAATTTAGAGGATCTGCTTGATATATGAAAGAAGATGAGTCCATCAAGACAATAGGTGTTTTGCCAAAGGTATGGACATATAGCACACCTCTTGCAGTGAATGTTGAAAATCAACTAATTAGAGCTGCAGCGTAATTCTGAGATCCTGCATACAAGTGTTTTATCTTTAATAAAGTTGATATGATACCGACCATTGAAGAATATTCAACTTTATTAGGTCTGCACCTCTAGGCTCTTGACAAGATATATGTAAAAAAACATAAATCAAGATTTTGTAAGAATCTGACCTATCTTATAGGGATAAACAAGGAGATTATGGATTCTCATACAAAGAAAAAACAAGAGCAGGTTTGCCTACCTTGGAAGTTCTTTCATGGTTTTTTAGTACAACATGTCGACGAAGAGTGAGGGTTAGACGTGTTTGCCGTAGCCATATATGGAATGGTGTTTTTTCCAAAGGTTTTAGGTTATATTGAAATAGCCGTGGTTGACTTCTTCGAAAGTGTGATTAATGGCTATAACCCTTCAACAGTGATATTGGTAGAGACTATTAGATTTTTTAGTTACTATCACCAGAATAGAAGGTGTTTCACAGGCTGTATACAACTATTGTACTTATGGATGAAAGCTACTTCGAGTGTAAAAAAGATTCTTTCTCGAAGCTTTATTTTCGTAATCGAGCTCCAATTAAAGAATTCTACGAAAGTGAGTGGCCAGTACAAAAATCCAAAAAAAATGGATAGCATCATTAACAAAGCTAACAAGCATTGAGGTGAGATGGTTGGCCTTGTGAATGAATCATGAACCTATCAGTATGGAGATAACACTGTGGTCTCACTTCTGGGTTTATAGAGAGCAACAAGTTATGCGTCATTTCCAGTAAAGAGGTAGTTTGGAACAGAATAGTTTATCCCCATGACGCATAAGCTTCAACAATCAAAATTTTCTTACAATGAGCCAAAAGCATTTTAGAGGATGAATGAGGTGATTAAAGCATTGAAAACCCTCGTAGGGTGAGTCCTGGATCGTTCACTGATAAAGTCACTTATGAGTACTTGGTCTAAAAAGCAAGATGAGGACAGGAAGTGGTATTCACTTGTGAAGGCTTTCAACCACCAACAAAAGGAAAGCTTGAAGAGATACCATCAGAATTAGAGTTTATGATAAAATAGTTCAAGATCAAAAATGATAGGCTAAGGTAAGAGATCCAGAAGCTTTAAGAGGAGAAAGATCAATGGAAAAATAGAGTTGAAAAACATGAAGTCAAAGTTTTCAAGATTGCTAGAGAATACGATACAACTGTTAAAGACCTAGCAGAGCTACACCATGAACATAAGAGGTTATGTGTAAAGATAAAAGCCAAAAAGATAACAATCATTGAGTTGACAAATAAAAATGAGCAGTTGAAGCAAAAATATGCTGAATTAGAAGAAGAAAATACCCAGGTACAAATAAAAAATAACATGTTGAACAGTTACCTAAACAGGTTGAAACAGAGGTTGTATGAACAATAAGACTATATTGCTGCATTGTTTAAAGAGCATAGAGAGTTATCATACCAAGTATGATGTGGTAAAAGGGAAAACCTAAGAAGGCAGAAGTATATTGATTACTTAACAACCTAAATTTATAAAGAAGTATGTAAGGCAAAAGAAATGGTCGAAGAGGTAAAAGCATTGAAGCAAGTGGTGACCCCAATAGAGGAACATGGATAGCATCTCTGAATTTCATCGAAGAAGTAAGAGACCAGTATGAGCAGATCAAATGATTTTATGGTTATAACTCTAGATAATAAATTTTATGTAAATGAAAGTTCTTCAGAATAAATGAAATCTTTTGGTTAAACATTGTCTCAAAGCAAATGTTCTTCGCATACATGCATTTTCATTCATTGCATTCTCATTCATTACAAAATACCATGAGATAGTCATATAAACTTGCTAATTCTAAGACATGGTATTCAAGGGTCAAGGATAACTCCATCCAATAAAAACCTTACCCACTGATA